CATGCACCAAGAGGTCACCAGTTCAATTCCTGGTCAGGACACATGTCCAGGTTGTGGGCCCAATTCCCAGTGGGGAGCATGTAGGAGGCAGCCAATCCATGTTCTCTCTCATCGATGTTTCTATCTCTCCCTCCCTCTTCCTTCCACTCGCTCTAAAAAAAAAAAAATCAATAAAGAAAAATTTATTAATTTAAAAAAAAATTAAAGTTGGGTTCTTAACCTTATGGGGACATGTATGTTCAAGTCCAGCAAAGCATCTAAGTCTGCTTTGGATCAGGGACAAAAAAGGTCAAGGCTTAGATATTCTTGGGTACAAGACGGTACAATATTAACACCAAATCTTTTCTCTCCAACGAATGGAGTTTTGTTCTGGTGATTTCCGTAACTTGGAGAAATCTGTGAAGGGTGTGAGCTGGATGTGCTTCCCCTCCTCCCGCTCTCCTCTCTACCCTTCTGCTCCAATATTAGAAATGGCTGTTCTAGTTCATTCCTCTGTTCACCACTATTGCCTCATTTCCCCCTATAATCAGCCATTAGGGATAAACTGGGTCCCCAACATTTAGTGTATACCAGCACCAGGTGCTACATAAATATCGGTTGAAAACTAAATGAATAGTTTAGCAATCCTACCGTGGGCCATGAGAAAGTCAAAAAGTAGAAAGTGCTCTGCCTTCCACTTGCCTCATTTAGTGTTGCAAAATAGTCAGATGACTTGTCAACTTACAACCGGTCTTTATTTCCAGATAACTTGAACAATGGGAGGGCAAGGAGTTCCAAAAACACAATCGGCTCTTGTGAGCAGCCTCTTCCATGTCTAGGAAACAGTACAGAGCACTGAAGGTTACATACACAACCAGATCTGGATTCAAGTCCAAGTTCTACCATTGACTGGGTATGTAACCTTGAAGAAGTAATTCAGCCTCCCCAACATTCAGTACCTTGTGTGTCCAATGACAATAACATCACGTGCTTCATAATGTTGCAAGCAGAGTAATGCACAGGAAACACTAGCTCATTGAATATTGCTTCCCTGAGCTTCAAGTCATTAACAATGAAGGAATGATGGGAAGTAAGTCCAAATGTTATTCTGTTCCTAAGACCAGAGCAAGGGCATGCCTCCCTACTTCAGATGACTGGGAGCAAACTGGGCTAGGAGACCTGCGTGGCTGACTACAGCCCAGGAATGCTATGGATCCTACCACCAGCAGCTCCCAAGTGGGCCCAGACCTCTATAGGAGACATCTGTTAGATGGTGACAATTCAAGAAAACAGGATCACTGTATTCAACTTTATCCTGTGGCCAAAAATAATTCATTTGAGTCATATCTAAGAGTTTTCCTCATTGTTACTGGTAGTTCAGGTTAAATGGTAAATTGAAAGAGCTTGCTCCAAACCCTGGGGACAGTAAGCAACCTGATAAACTACTTGGATTAATTCTAGATCCCATTCGTCATCTTTGACATAGGACCCAGCAAGAGCCACCAGCATCTCCAGCCCTTATGAAAACAGGCCGCCTACATGAGGAGATGCAGAGGTGGTGTCTAGGCAGAGACTTCTAGTGGGCCAGGAAATGGAATTTCAAGTCAACACTACAGAGTTAACTATTCCTCTAATGAAGGTTTCTTCACACACCACTTTGAAGACAGCATCTTAAGAATTTCTTTTTTTTTACTGGGCATTAATAAAATTCCATGGAGCACAGGAAGGAATGTAACTGAGTGCAATTCCCTATTTGCCCAAATGTGAAGGGAGTGCAAAGCCCATGCAAATAGAAAGATGGATGCTGAGGGATGTCCCAGCTCTGTAGGACTACAAGTAATGAATGCCTTAACTGAGAGGCTGGATGGGATTCCTCCCTCACTCCCCTCAGGCTGGGTGTGGAATCCCATAGGCTGCAATAAGGTCCTCCTGTATTTGCATCCTCAAGGGTTCCAGTCCTGAGTCCCCAAGCTCACTGCAACTGCTGTCCTGGATGCACTGGTATAATAGGCAGTAGGTAAGACACACCTTCCCTAGGCCACTTTTCCTTTTGATCACTGGCAAGATACTTCCTTCCAAGTTTTTCTGCTGTGTCCTTGCCTCCCGTTCCATGCTTGGAAACACTGATTGGACAGCCTCTTTGGAGGCGGAACCAAAAGGAACTATGGGACAGATAAGGTGCCTGACGGCTACTGGGAGGAAACATTCTATTAGGTTGTATCGTATTAAATTATCAATATTCAGCCCTTTTTCAGTTACAGAAATGACAATTTTACATGGTTCAACCTAGCTGCTACCAGGTAACTTTCTGAAAGGGTTATAATCATTAACTAGATGTTCTCAGAAACAGTTAAAAGTCAACACTTCAGCTTAATGTGACTTCAAGGCACCAAATCCATGGGCTTCAAATCCTAAGAGATCAGTTAAAAGGGACCATATGCTGGGCCAATAAAAGTCATCTGAATAGATTCCCAAAAACTTCAATTTTACATAATGGAGTCTCTGACCTCAATGGAATTAAATTAGAGTTCAATAACATAACATTTTTAAAAAGGCCCCAAAACATACTGTCACAGAATGCATGGATCAAAAATAGATCACAAAAGAAATGAGAAAATATTCTGAATGCCCAGCCGGTGTGGCTCAGTGGTTGAGCGTCGACCCATGCACCAAGAAGTTGCTGGTTCGATTCTCAGGCAGGGCACATGCCCAGGTTGTGGGCCAAATCCCCAGTGGGGGGGCATGCAGGAGGAGGCCCATCGATGTTCTCTCTCATCGATTTCTCTCTCTCTCTCTCTCTCGCCTTCTCCCTTCCTCTCTCTCTAAAATCAGTAAAGAAAAAAAAATTTTTTAAGAAAATATTCTGAATGGATTGAAAACGAAAATACTAACTTTTGAAGGATGCAGTTAAAGTGAGACTTAAGAGGGAAATGTCTACCTTTACAGGCGATGTGAGAAAATAGAAAGGTCTAAAAAGGAAGGATAGATTAAAGCCAAACTAAGTAGAATGAAAGAAAGAATAAAGAGGAGAAAGCAATAACACAAGAAAACAGGCAGAAAAACTGGGGGGGGGGGGGGGTAAACCAAAAGCCAATTCATTGCAAAGATAAACACAATCAATAAAAGTTCAGCTGAATGGATTAAGAGGTAAAGAAGACACAGGTGATAAAGATCAGGACTGAAAGAGAGAGGACACCACCACAGAGCCTCCAGGAATTAAAAGAATTATAAGGGAGCTCTGTGAAAACTTGACTAATTCCCTGTGGGCTAATTCCAGCTTGTTACCTGTTTTTATACTTCTATCAGAACAAGCCACACACATCTCTGGCTGCTTTTGCGCTGTAACAACAGGGTTGAGTGGTTGTGACTGAGAGCACATAGCCCACAAAGCTGAAAATATTTACTACCTGATCCTTTAGAGAAAAGTTGACTGACGGTCAGATTAGATGAGATAGACAAATTCCTTGAAGCACACAAATACTGGAACTGATTCAAGAGGAAGCAGAAAATCTGAACACACCTGTATCTAGTAAAGGGACTGAGTTTTGGACTGAATTCCAGGCCCAGAATTCTGTCAAATGGCTAAGGAAGTGTTAATACCAATCCCACACAAACTCTTCCTAAAAAGAGAGGAGGAGGGAACGCTTCCCAATTCATTCTGTGAAGACAGTATTATCCTGCTACCAAAATCAGACAAAGACATTAGAAGAGAAGACAAACTGTTGATTAAAAAAAAAAAAAAAAAAAAAAAAAAAAGCCTCTAAAAATCAACACGGAGCTGACTCATTGCATTCTGACGGGCAGTTAAAATAAAAAACAAAACCCAAAAAATCTAGGACATACCAGTATCTGAAGAATGAGAGAAAACAACCTGGAAACCACATACCATTCTACCTGAGGCCTACATTCTCTCGGGGTGTGTGCTAAGAGAACCATCTCAAATTCCTGTTACGGGGTGCGGGAGAAACCCCACCTCTATCTTCCTTGCAGCTTGATCGGCTTCCTCACCTTCAGCAGCAGCTGCAATTACTAAGACCTATGGCCCCTTGGCCTTAACTCCATTCTGACTTGCAACACAGAATAAAAGCCTTGATCGTGTCTCTAATGTTCAGGGCTGTGTCACCAGGGCCAAATACCTGGCAATATGGCAGTCATGTCACAGATAAGTCTTTCCATGTCTCGACTAGACTTAGGTTTTTATAAAAGAAAACCGAGCAGTACTGACTTCATTCATTCTCCCCAAGCTCACCGGCACCCAGGACTGTCATGGCCATGCGCACCTGTGGTGGGCTATGCAGTGACACTGTTGGGGAGGGTCTGACTCGAGCAGTGACTGTCTGGGTCAGTCACAAAATTTATTGACTTCCGAGACTGGACCTGGTTCCTTCAATACCTGAGTGTCTACTGAGTACTAACTAAGCAGAGGGACCTCCTCCGGCAGCCTCCAAAACTAGGAGGGCTTCCCTTTGAGAACATCACTGTGTCCATCTGACTTGAGGGGCAGAAAGAGTGGCCCGACTCCTTGGGTTATACTAAGTTCCTCCACTTTCGGTGGCTGCCCAGAAAGGACCCTACAAAGAGATAGGTACTGGACATGTGTGAAGGCTCCTGACCTTTCCACCCAGGAGCAACAAAACCACGTGTGGATTTCCCAAGGATCACCCGACACAGTGCTAACTGCAGAAGTCTCCGGGTGAAGGCCTGGTCCACGCTGACAAACGTGACACACCAGGTGGTTCCATGTCACTACCTGAAATCTGCTTGTTCCTTTTCCACCTTCCCCTCCTAAGTGTAAGCTCCACGAGGGCAGGGACCTTTCCTCTCACAGGCGCTTGGTAAGCATTCTAAAGGAGTGGTTCGTAGATAACTATCTGTTTCCAGTGCAGCCTACTGATGACCTAATGGTTCGTGAATAGAAAATTTATGAAGCTGTCTTGCCCAAGTTTGGTGTTTGCAGATAACCTAACAGAGAAATGGCTTTGAAAGTCACATGTGTTAACCAAACAAGTCAGTCAACTCACAGCTGGCATACGAGCGGCTGTCGTCCTCACACATTTTGTGCAGCTGTTGGAACTCCTCCTGAGCCAGCTCGAACCGCTGCTGCTTAATCTGGTAGATTTCTTTCTTGGCATTGAGAGCCTCCTGGGCTACAATTAAATATTCCTTCAACATCCGTTCTTGCTCTCGCCTCCACTGTTCTCTGGGGTCCTCAATCTGGGTGAGCTCTGAAATGAAACGCATAAGACAGAAGTGAAATAAAACAGACGTACACACAAAGGACCTAAGTGAGTTCAAAGGCAAATTTTTAGGGTGACCAATAGTCATGCAGTTATGGGACTACTCGATATGAAAATGAATTACACCTTCTATTTTGATATGCACAGTTAAAATGAGCAGAAAACTCTATACATATGAAATAGTTCGTTGGAGGGGGAAGACAATACCAGACAATTTTTCACACTGTGAAAAAATGTTGGCAGAGATGAACCAAATGAGCTCATGACTGCCAAGCTAACAGATTTCCAGCCCTCTTCTCACCGACCTCTGACCCGGCTTGCTCCTACCCCACCCACACAGGACCATGCAGCCCTTCTGCATTCCCCGTGGACTCTCTTGTCTCCTCCGGTCCACAAACTCCATTTCCCACTCTGGCTTCCTCAGCCCACAAGCTCTGTAAGGGCTCATGCTACCTCTGGCTCCACCCTCTCTCCTGAGCTCCCATCTTTGCTTCCCAACTGCCTCCTAGATGCTTCTCTACCTGGACAGGCCCAAAGGAATTCTGAATCCTGAGTCCAGACCAGAACGCATTCTCATGCAGGGGCCTTTTAATCCCCAAACTGAAACCAAACCAAACCAAACAATGCCCCAACAGCAAGCACCTGCTCTGCTGCCTTCCCTCTTGAAGTGAGAGGCATCGTCTGGATGTGCGCACTTAACTGACCTGGGAATCCAGCCTGGGCCTCATCCCTAGAGAAGCCTGCTCCTGTCCCTCACCCAGACTATGCTGTGGGGCCATCAAGAGCTGGTGACTCCTTCCCCGAGACATAATGACTGGCAACACAGTCTTCTCTCCATCTCCCCTTAGTTTAATCAGACCCTCATGATCTCTCTCCCAAAACACGCAGGCTTCCCGTCTCATCCACCCAAAGCCATCCTCTGTTTACTCTCTAAAGCTACCTTCCTACCTCTGCTTGATATTCTTGAACACATGAACCTCTTTTAAAGCATAAAGCCCAATATTCTCCACATGTTTCATGAGTCCCGAAACTAACTTCCCAAGTTCTGTGCCCTTTTCCCCACAAATGTCCTCTAAACAGACTGAATTTTTCCCCAAGTGCCCATCTTTGGCATCACTCACCTATTTATGCTGCCCCTAGCCTTCTGCCCACTGGGAAACCTTACTCTCTTCTAAGTCCCTATGCAGAGATGGCCCTTTTTTGAGGCCTTCTCTGTCCCCCATTGTATACACATATCTGCAATGGCTAGGACTGCTGTTCCTACCACTTAGCACATAACTGTTTTTGTATTTCTTTGTTTCCCACATCAAGTATGAGGCCCTGGAAGGCAGGCACACAGCTTCAGTCATCTTTATATTCTCAGGACCCTTCATCAGTCTGAAACCCAGAAGGCCATCAATTACTGACTGTAGGCTCATTGAATGAGGGACAGAAGGGGAAGTCTGCTCCAAGGACAGAGGACTACAGTCCCAAAATCAGATCCTTAGACTGAGGGGGCCGACTCAGCAAACCAGCAAAACACCCAGACTCAGGAAAGGCTAACTCTCTTCAGGCAATGACTCTACTAGTGGAGGTCTCAGCAGAAGTGAAAACTGGAACGTAGTGTCCCTGTTCCAAATGTACAGTCCCCAGGCTATGGTGGCTCTGTTATAATGTTGACATATTAATAAACACATGCTGGCTGCTGGCAGCCAAAACAAAGTAAGAGAGAGTGCATAGGAGAGAAAGGCTGGTCAAATCCCCTAACCAAATCCTAAACAAATATGCAAAATAATCCTTGTAATAGGTGCTTGAGCAGCACTATCACAACCCTAATTCCATCATCTAGTGATGAATGGATGAAAAAGTGTAATCTATCCATGATGGAATAATACTCAGCCATGAAAAGGAATGAAGTTCTGACACATGCCACAGCGTGATTGAACCTCAAAATCATCATGATGAAAGAAGCCAGACACAAAACATCACATAATATGTGGTTTCATGTCTATGAAATGCCCAGAACAGGCAAGTCCATAGGGATGGAAAGGAGACTGGTGGTTTAGAGTAAATGGGGAGTGATGCTCATGGGTTTGGGGTTTTACCTTGGGGCGATGAAATGTCCTGGAACTAGAGAGAGGTGGTAGTTGTACAATGGTGTGAAGGGACGAAATTCACTGAATTGTACACTTTATCTTGTTCATTTCATGTTCTGTGCATTTCACCTCAAAATGGTGAAAAACGTACATTTTATGTCTGGTTTACTTTACCACACCTGAGTGATTGCTAGAATGTTTCAAGTAAGTTCTTCTTTTAAACCCCCTCCTGTCAATACCCCTCACCACCACCCTTCACACTGCTACCCCATAGCCCTCCTAGAAAGCCTCTCTAGGCCTTAAAGCTCACATGGGGAAAATCAACAAAAAGTAGGGTATTACCCTCACCCCCAAGTTCAGATTCAGCAGGCCTGGGGCAATACAGTCACCAGTTTGTAACTGCCTGGCGCCTCGGACATTTATTGAGCTGTGAGACCCGCTGGGCCACTGACATTGTTCACACTCTGTCCACTGCGCCGGAGGGTCCTAAGCACCTGGATGGTGGTCAACACAGGGTACCTCGGGTCCCTCTCCTCACTGTCGACCTGCAGTCCAATTTCACACAACTGCCTCCTCAGGTCCTGTGCCTTTTGAAAGCTGTGCTATCAAGAGTTGGGTTCTCAGGAACAAGTTTTCTGGAATGGGGTCTTTGGCCCCTGATGTACAAATTGTTACAATAATAACCTTTCTTGTTCCTGAGGAAGCAAAGAGGAGGTGGGTTTTCTGAAGTTCCCAGAGGGAAGAGGTGGTGTGACCCGCATGCCCCATGGTGCTGGCTCGTCCCAGTTATGCTCAAGCTGGCATTAAGAAAGTCCTTAATGTCTAGTGTCCCATCTCGTCCTTGAGGGTGGAGATTGGGTCTCACTTTCCTGCATCCCCAGGGCCTACAGAGAGGCCAGAACAGAGAAGTACTCTCTACCACTCGCTGTGACTCAGCACGCAGACGAGCCAGGGGCACGGAGGGATGAGGGAGCTGAGTTTATGAGACACGAGCCAGAACAGGTCCCAGCCACAGCGGCAGGCAGGCAGACTTTCCAGAAAAGTTGTGTAAGGCAGATGCCTATACTGTTCAGTCATCCCCTCTGGCCCCAGGTGATGAAGCCTCGTGTGCGCAGGCCCAGAGCTCTGCGACCTGGCTGAGTAGCCCTCCCCTGTGGGAGTGGCCTTCACTGTGGGAACTGCCCTTACATGTGGGAGTGGCTCTCCCATGTGGGAGTGGCTCTATCCTGTGGGAACTGCCCTCACCTGTGGGAGTGGCCCGGCCCTGTGGGAGTGGCTCTCCCCTGTGGGAATGGCCCTCACTTGTGGGAGTGGCCCTCACCTGTGGGAACTGCCCTCACCTGTGGGAGCTGCCTTCACCTGTGGGAATGGCCCTTACCTGTGGGAGCTGCTTTCACCTGTGGGAGCTGCTTTCACTTGTGGGAGCTCCCACCAGCAGCTGGGAAAGCAAGCTCAGATGGGCAGACACCCCAAACACACACAGACTCGAGGTACTGGGTCAGCCAGGGTGGTGGATCCACCTGGAAGCCCTCTTGCTACCCAGATCCCTGCCTGGGAGGCTGGGGCAGTACCTGTCCCGAGTGTCCAACCTTTGGGTAAGAGCTACATTAGGATGCCACACGTATCAGAAACTGCACTGCCCCAGGACTGACACAGGAAGCCTAGCCATTCAGGTTTCTTTTTCTTTTCTTTTTTTTTTTTTTAGCTCAAATTTTTTATCATCTGATTCAATGAACATAAAGTTAAATTTCAATAAATAGAGTTAGAACACTCCTGAAAGGGAAAAGAAAACAACTATTTAAAAAACTGTTGTTCATTGAAAAGGAATATAAGAGAAATATATTTAAGAGGAATATAATGCATTTAACAGGAATATAATTTCTAGAACTCATTTTTTTGTTGTTCTTCCATTGTAACTGAAGAAAATATGAGTGAATTCATGATTCTTTAGATTAGACCATTTTTATGTATACTTTGAATAAACACCATGCATATTAATATTTTTAAGGTTTTAATGTGACAAATGAGCTTGTTTCTTTCTTGTTTGACTATCTAATCCAGAAGAATTGACAAAAACCCTAACCCTCAGGGAATGATGTGCATCTGAACTGTTTCTGTGTTTTGTTATTTTTCAATTATAGTTTATATTCAATATTATTCGGTATTAGTTTCTGATGAAATACCGGGGGGACCACTCAGGTTGCCATTCAGGAGGTGGGTAACAATGAAGGAATCAGCCCTAACGGCACCAACCTGGGCCCATCACGCTAAGGGGACATGAAGACCCATGGGACCAGAGTGAAGAAAAAGCTTCAAAGTCACTCCTGCGGCGGGCATGGTGCAACTTCAGGCCCTCCCTGTGTGCCCTGAAGTTAACAAACCAGAGGACAGAAACACAATAAGGGGAGGCCATGCTTCATGTCCCCAGTAGTGCAAGATGTCAATGACAGAAACACTAGAATGAAAATGAGGGAGAGTGGGGAAGTGTGGGCCTGAGAGAGAAATGGATCCCCAGATGAATGAGTCCCTGTCGAGGAAGGCTAATGAAGACACGGAAAGCCAAGAGGGAGGGTGGAGAACAGCACTAGAAGGAAATGGGTCTGTGAAGCAGGGCGTGTCGCCCTCGGCATGACTGACATCTGGGGTCAGCTCACTCTCTTGCAGGGCCGTCCTGTGCATTGTAGGAGGTTCAGCAGTGCCCCTGGCCTCTACCCACTAAGTGCCAGGAGCACCTCTGCCTGCCGTGTGTGACAATCAAGTATTGCCAGACGCTACCAAGTGTCCCTGGGAGGCAAAATCAGACCCAGTGAGAACCACTGCTCTAAACAGTTGCATGAAGAAGGTGGGCACAGTCAAGGCCCCCTCCATTAGCTGTAGTCCTTACACCATTTGCTCCCTTCACAGAGACCGAGAAGGTTTGGTGTGTTCAAGTGAAATATATAAGCCAAAATGAAGTTCAGGGAACTACTTGAGCAGTTCATCATTCCAAGAACATGTAAGCTCCACTTTGCAATAACCAACCTTCTCATTGCGAGAGGTATTTCTAGTTCCAAACTGCCCGGGAAATGTATTCCTTCTGTTAGATATGAAAAGCCTCCATGAAACACACACCATGCAGTCCTGAGCTGCATAACTGCTTCAATTTTTAAAGAACTCAGCTAAAGAAAACTTCAGGTTACATCGATAAAATTCAGCCCTGGCCAGTTAGGGTCAGCGGTTAGAGCATCAGCCCACGGTCCAGAGAGACCCGGGTTCGGTTCCTGCTAAGGGCATGTACCTTGGTTGCAGTTTGTCCCCGGCCCTGGTTGGGGTCGTGTGGGTGGCAGCCACTGGATGTGTCTCTCTCACGTCGATGTTTCTCTCTCTCTCTCTTCCTCCCTCTCTCCCTCCTGCTCTATCTGAAGATGAATGCAAAAATGTCCTTGGTTGATTAAAAAAAAAAAGGAAAGAAAAGGAAAATCCAGCTGAATGCTGCAACGGTTAGTAAAGATGGCATTGCTCTACAAAAAAGAGTTTTTAGCATCCTTGAGATCAACATGAAAACTCATTCACATGTAATAACTCCAATGTGGCGCTCTACTTACTATTGATGTGGTCCATGTAATAAATTCCAATTTGTTTATCATATACAGTTTCCCATCCTAAAGGAAGTTCATCCCCAACACAATCGGCAAAGGTCAATGGCTTTGTTATCCTGCAAAATAAAATTATAAGAACAAATTTGAAAATCGGGTCAATTTGGGGTGACTGCTGAATCGACTCTAAAATCAGGTCTTAATATGAAGTTATATATTATCTTATCTAATTGACAGGTTTTGCCCCAACTTTTGGATGGAAAATGAAGTCACTGGCTTTGCCTAAGTAATAATCAGAAACAATATCAGTACACTCACAGTTAAAGCACTGCTATCTCAAAGTGCAACTTTAAATACCAGCGAAAACAGATATTGAAAGTTACAAAACAGGTAAGACAAGCATCTTCTTCCAAGCAGTATGTTTAATGAGCTGATGACAGCGGAATGCGGCTCTTCCACAACAGGACAGCAGCTCTGCTTTGTTCTCATTCCCTGCAAAATGGTCCCCCTCCCAACTTTCCATCCATTGCAGCTTCCATCTAGTCAAAAAGGAATCTTTCTATGACCAGTTATCATAAGGTAAAAAGTTAAATATTAACTATTGACCAAATGCAGAAATCCAGACAGGCGTGGTAACAACACGAGGAGATTTCCACTGAATACTTCCCGGGCGCCAGATACAATAGGAATCAAGACTGCAAAGGGTCTTTTTTTTTTTTTGGAGAAAAACAACAAAAGCATGTTGTCTGCAGACCTCTCTCCTTGAAGTAAAGCTGATTAAAATCCTTGGTTTGACACAGATAGATAAAGGAAAGGTTTCCAGATGGGCTTCTTTAAGTAGAACTCCCCTCTTCCCCACACCCCATGATCACGCTGATTGACAAGACAGCTCTTGTATAAAACGGGCCACGCCTATAATTGTCTGAATTCGGGCAGCTATGTATTCGGTAGTCTCTATAAACGCACACTGACTAGCATGCATGGGAAGCCAATAACCTAAATTTCACTAACTCAAATCCTCCCACAAGTTCCTGGTCCAAGGAAAGTGAGACACCATGGCCACGGCCAAACCCCACAAGACCACTATAAATGCTAAACACGTTACTCCCCCAAACTGGTTTGTCAACAAGGCTTTGTCTCTCCAGCAACATTTAGAAATTGATGGACACCATCAGAATGGCACCGATCGGAATATCTTAATTTTAAACATATGCTTTTAAGGAATGAGAGTCAGTATCAAGACATGTACAGAAGGTAAAATACGCCGTGGCAATGGTGTGCCGGTGGCCTAGTGCCAAAAGCAGGTAACAGCAGGATTTCATGTGGTAAACTAGAGGGCAAGGGCAAGGATCCAATGCAGAAAGGGGGCGGCTGACAGCAGGGAGGAGCCCATAAGCCCATTCACTGGATTTATCTGTCACACTGTGCAATACACTCGCCTGCTTCAAAGATGGCTCCCAATGCTTCTTGCCTCCTGGTGTTAGTGTCCTTGTAGTCCCCTCCCACACTGAACAGGGCTGATCTGTGTAACCAACAGGACACTGTGGAAAGAACAGTGTGTGGCCTCCAAGGTAAAGTCATAAAAGACACCTTGCTTCCACCTTGTTCTCTTGGATGGCTGGCTCTGAGGGAAACCAGCCCCATGCTGTAAAGACACTCAAGCAGCCCAACGAAGGGACCTACATGGAGAAGACCTGAGGCCTCCTGCCAACAGCTGGCACCAACAGCCAGCCATATGAGTCAACCACTTTGGAAGTGTATCCACCAGCCCCAGTTCAGTTTAGGAATAAAGTCTAGGCATAAATAACTTGCATTTTTATGAACACTCTGCTAAGGGGATTAATCTAATTTACCTAAGCACTCTCCTACTATTGACAGCTACATTCTTTTCTAATTTCTACTAGTATAAATATTCACGAGAGCTGTTGTGGAAAACAGTGCAGCGATTTCTTAAAGAGTTAAACAAAGATTCCATATGACCCAGCAGTTCTATGCCTAGGTGTATATCCAGTAGAAATGGAAACGTGCCCACACAAAAGAATGTCTATACCAGCATTACTCACAACAGCCGAAAGGTGAAAAAATCTACGGGCCATCAACTGATGAATGGATATATAAAACATGGCCTATCCATACAATGGAATAATCTTCAGCCATAAAAAGAATAAAGTACTGACACCTGCTACAACATGGAAGGACCTTGAAGTCACTGTGCTGAGTTAAAAAAGTCAGATACAGAAGGCCACATGCTGTGTGGTTCCACCTATAAGAAATGTCCAAAATAGGCAAATCCATAAAGAGATAGACCAGTGGTTACTAGGGGCTAGGGGAGAGTGGGAAAGGGAGTGAGTGCTAATGGGTATGGGGAGCTTCCTTTGGGGGTGATAAAAAAATGTTCTGGAACTAGATAATAGTGATAGCTGCACAACTTTGTGAATATACTAAAAATGAATCAACTCTACACTTTAAATGGTGAATTCCATTGAACATGCAAATTATATCCCAATTTAAAAACTACGATGAAAGGAACATCTCTGCATATAAAGCTCATAATCTGTATTTATAATCACTTTTTTCGAAAGATTCCCAGAAGTAAATTTACAAGGTCAAGGATGTGAAGCTCCTTTCTCCATAACTTAAATTTAATGTAAAAAATCCAGACAGTAAAGTAAGAAGAAAAGGAGATAAAGTCACAATCCCTAAACCCTGAATTCATACTTTAGCTTATTTTCTCTCCTTCTGTTTCCTATACATATCCACAGCTGATATCATACCAGATACAATTTCATACACTGATTTCTTTCACTTGTGTGTTTCTTCAAGCCCTTTAACCCTTTGTCAGCAGCACTTTCCACCATGCTGGAACCTTCCATTGTGCGCAGTAAACCATAATTTATTTACCAGGCACCTCAAGTCATCCATTTAGGCATGTTCCAATTTTCTGCTTTTTAGTGTAAAGAATGAATGTGAGCTCACAGTAAACGCTTGACCATTAGCATACATGCCTACCAGTGAAATAAGTGATGGTCTTTTTCATCACCCTCTGGGGATATCTTTAACACATTTGTTCAAGGAATCAGAATAAATCCATATGGCACAAGCATGCTTTACTTTCAAGGAACAAGTCGGTAGGGAGTACAGAGTAAATTGAAGAGCATTTTCAGAATGTGGGGGAGTTGGGAAAACATGGTAAGCAATGAACTGATAAGCAGAGTACCCACTGTTCCCACACTTCAAAGCATGCTCTAATATTGTATCTTAAGGCCTCTGGGTCCGCTGTCACTGGTCTCACTCCATCTCTCCATCTGAGCAACATCAACCAGGAGAGTCACCCACTTGCCCTGCCCCAAACCCCACTCAGAGATATTCCCATTGCCGGTTTTCCCCTTAACAAAATGACTTCTTGGCCTCAGCAGAGAAAGTGAATACATTTTGAATTCTCATCAGTTTGGGTCCACAAGAACGGAGAGAATGATGCATGGCACCAACACTAGGCTTCTTTTCATTCCCTTCGCCTGTTGCATCCTGCAGGGCTCTTTTAGAAGTAGCACTGGGCCACTTTGATGAGTGCCAGTTCCAAGGGAGCCATGTACTGCCATGAAATCATCTCTCTCTAGAGCTCAGTCTCCTAATCTTGAAAATGGGGATGATCAGACAAACCTCACAGGGTTACGTCAGCTGGGACAGCCTCTTCGGTTACTGCACAGAGACCAGCTCCATCCACTGCCCTTCCTGCCTCCCTCTCACTGCCCTAGTAGACTTGCTTCAGATTGTACGAGTTTCCATTTGCCACTGTAATAGAGTACCAGAAACTTGTTGGCTTTAAACAACGCAGACTTATCTTACAGCTCTGAAGATCAGAAGTAATGGTTGCTTTCTCTGAACTAAAACCAAAGTGTCAGTAAGGCTATGTTTCTTTCAGAGGCTTTAGAGGAGAATCCGTTCTCTTGCCCTTCCCAGCTTCTCAAGACTGCCTACATTCCACGGCAGCTTTCTCCACCTTCAAAGGCAGCCATGGCCCTGGCCGGTTTGGCTCAGCGGTTAGAGCGTCGGCCTGCGGTCCTGAGAGACCCGGGTTCGGTTCCCGCTAAGGGCACGTACCTCGGTTGCAGTTTGTCCCCGGCCCTGGTTGGTTGTGCGGGTGGCAGCCACTCGATGTGTTTCTTTCACATCGATGTTTCTCTCTCTCTCTCTCTGTTCCTCTCTCTCCCTCCCACTCTACCTGAACAAAAAATGAAAAAAAAAAATGTCCTCGGGTGAGGATAAAAAAAAAGGCAGCCATGGCCAGCTGGGTTTCTCAGGAGGCCACGTCTCTGGTTCTCCCTCTCCTGCCTCCCTCTTCCGCTCACAAAGACCCTTGTGATTACGTTGGGCTCACTTGACGAATTCAGAATAATCTCCTCATCACAAGATCCATTGGTTAGATACATCTGCAAAGTCCCTTCTGCCATGTAAGGTAACATCGTCACCAGTTCCAGGGCTAACCAGGACATGGGCATCTTGGGAAGTCATCACTCTGCCAACTACAGACAGCCACTGGGGAGGCTTCAGGGCCAGAGAGGCTGGGAAGAGCAGTGGGTGGCAGTCCAGTGTGGAGAGACCATGCCCTCCCTCTCAGCCAGGCTCAGGGGCCTGGACTATCTGCCATTAGCTATACCAAATGGCAGAAAATTAGAGGTGGGCAGCAGATGGTGAGAGCAGAGAGAAAAGTATAAACATTGGTTCTTAACATACTTTCTTTATCAAAACAAACAAACAAAAGGCCAGGGCAAGCCTACGGCACATGTACCACACTCTCCAGCTTCACGGGCAGCTTCATGCACAGGGCTCTAACCAATGGGCTGTGAGGCAGAGGTCACGTGCACCCATTCCAAGCTCGTCCTGTAAGCTTCTCGCAGGACCCTCCACTGCCCTTTCTCTAACCGCTGCCTGTCAGTCAAAAACAGATAACACAGTAGAGGGTAGCTGCTAGGGGCTGCATGTCTGTGTGCCCCCAAATTCATATGCTGAAATCGTAATATCCAATATGATGATACTGGAAACCACGTCACCAGCAGAGTCCCTCTGTCACCAAAATAACAGAACAGGAATTCCTCATCAAGTACCCAGTCCTGAAAAC